TTGAATTTGTTGCCTTATAATTAATTGTTCATAGTAGTTGTTAATGATCTTTTGTGTTTCTGTGGTGTCAGTTGTTACTTCTCCTCTTTCATTTCTGATTTTGTGTATTTGGGTTCTCTCTCTTTGTTTCTTGGTGAGTCTAGCTAAGGGCCCATCAGTCTTTATCTTTTCGAAAAACCAGCTCTTTGTTTCATTGATCCTTTGAATTGTGTTTTTGGTCTCTATGTCATTTATTTCTTTTCTGATCTTTACTATTTTCTTCCTTCTACTCACTCTGGGGTTTTCTTTTTGTTTGCTTTCAAGTTCTTTAAGTTGTGAGGTTAGATAGTCTATTAGAATTTTTTCTCGTTTCTTAAGGTAGGTCTGTAGTGCCATGAACATCCCTCTCAGAACTGCTTTCGCTGCATCCCATAGATTTTGTGTTGTTGTGTGTTCATTTTCATTGGTTTCCAGAAAGTTTTTAATCTTTTTCTTGATGTCCTCGGTAACCCATTCATTGTTTAATAACATGCTATTTAGCCTCCATGTGTTCAAATGTCTTTGCATGTTCTTGTTGCAATTGATTTCTAGTTTCATGCCATTGTGATCTGAGAAGATGCTTGATATTATTTCAATCTTCTGGAAATTGTAGACACTTAGTTTGTATCCTAACATGTGGTCTATCTTTGAGAATGTCCCATGTGCACTTGAGAAGAATGTGAATTCTGTAGTTTTGGGGTGTAATTCTCTGTAGATATCCAGTAAATCCATTTGGTCTAGTGCTTCATTTAGAGTCTTTGTTTCCTTGCTAATTTTTTGTCTAGAGGATCTATCCAGTGATGTCAGCGGGGTGTTGAAGTCCCCTGCTATGATTGTATTGCTGTCGATTTCACCTTTGAAGTCCTCCAGAAGGTTTTTAATATATTTTGGTGCTCCTATATTGGGTGCATATATGTTTACCAAGGTTATTTCTTCCTGTTGGATAGATCCTTTCAATATTATGTAGTGACCTTTTTTGTCTCTTATGGCCTTCATGTTGAAATCTATTTTATCAGATATGAGTATTGCTACCCCAGCAATTTTTTCCTTTCTGTTTGCTTGAAAGATTTTTTTCCATCCCTTCACTTTCAACCTATGTGAGTCTTCTGTTGTGAGGTGGGTCTCTTTTATTTTTATTTATTTATTTTTTTTATCCTCACCCGAGGATATTTTCCATTTTTTTGTACAGATAGAGTGGGAGGGAGAGAGAGGAAGAGAGAGAGAGAGAGAAACATCGATGTGAAGGGACACATCGAGTGGCTGCCACCCGCACGACCAACCAGGGCCGGGGACAAACTGCAACCGAAGTACGTGCCCTTAGCGGGAACCGAACCCGGGTCTCTCCGGACCGCAGGCCGACGCTCTAACCGCTGAGCCAAACCGGCCAGGGCGAGGTGGGTCTCTTTTAAACAACATATAGATGAGTCATGCTTTCTTATCCAATCAGCTACTCTGTGTCTTTTCATCAGAGCATTTAATCCATTGATATTTAAGATGATTATTGGTATGTACTTATTTATTGCCATTTTGTTTAGTGTGGTTATACTTTTCTTCCTATTTCTTCTACTAATTACAGCAGTCCTTTTAATATTTCTTGCAGTGCTGGTTTGGTGCTAATGTATTCCCTTAGCCTTTTTTTGTCTGGCAAGCTCTTTATTTGACCTTCTATTTTGAATGACAGCCTTGCTGGATAGAGTAGTCCTGGATTCAGATCCTTGTTTTTCATGACCTTGATTACTTCATGCCATTCTCTTCTGGCCTATAGTGTTTTTATTGAGAGGTCAGCTTATAGCCTTAGGGGGTTTCCTTTGTAGGTAACCTGTTGCTTATCTCTTGCTTCTTTTAGGATTCTCTCTTTGTCTTTAATTTTTGGCAATTTGATTACTATGTGTCTTGGTGTGGGCCTGTTTGTGTTCTTACTTGGGCTCTCTGTGCTTCTTGAACTTGAATGCTTTCTTCCTTCACCAAATTAGGGAATTTTCTGTCACTATTTCTTCAAATATATTCTCTAACCCTTGCTCATTTTCTTATTCTTTGGGTATTCCTATGATGCGAATATATTACATTTCCAGTTGTCCCACAGTTCTCTTAAGCTGTCTTCCTATTTTTTAATTGTTTTTTTGTTGTTGTTATTGTTTTCTGATTGGTTGATTTTTTTCTACCGTGTCTTCTGATTCACTGATCTGGTTCTCAATTTCCTCTACTTTGCTGTTTAGTCCTTCCAATGTGTTCTTTATTTCTGCGATGTCATTCTTCATTTCTTGGTGGTTTTTCATTTTCAATTGGTTGATTTTCAATGTTTCTACATGTTTACTTATGGTGTTGATGTCCTTACACCTGCTGTTGAGCTTCCTCAAGATCATGGCTCTGAATTCTAGCTCTGTTAACTTGCTTAACTGTACCTCATTTATCTCATCTTCAGTAGAGGTCTCTTATTCTTTCATTTGGCATTTGTTTCTTTATTTCAGCATTTTGGCTATCTCAGTGGGCTTTGGAGGCTGCCAAATTTTCTCTGTGCGTGTTGGTGTTCTGCTGTTTTTGCTTCCTCTACTGGGTTTGGATGAGCGTGGGAGGACATACTCTAAACACCACTGTCAAGTCAAGTCTTACTTTCCTAGATAGATTTGCAAGTCCAGGAATGGTTCAGTTATCCTCTAACTTTTTGCCTGGAGGCTACTAGTCTCAGTTTCTTGAAGAGCCTTGGTTTCTCAGTTGAATGAAAAACTCTCTCAGGTGTTCCAAATAAGAGTATTTCCTGAGGATGGGGCAGATGCTTGTTGTTAATGAGCCTCAAGTTGCATTTTAATGGCCCACCTGCGTGGGGTTGAATCTCTAGGGTGGGGCCACAGCCTCTCCCCAGAGCCCTGGGAAGGAGTAAGATGGCCACTGCCCTGCGTCGCTGCAACTCAGCAAAAGCTCTGAGTACCCTCCAAATCCCAAGTGACTCCACACAGTTCCAGTCCTGTCTGCCCTCCCTCTGCCAGAGCCCAGGGTGAGTGGCTGTGGCTATTTTAGCACTCTGTCCTGGCCCTCTGCACTGTGGAGCGGGCTTAGTATTTTAACCCCAAGGGTGCTGCTCACAGCTAAGACCACTGCTTTCTGTGGGCTCCCAGCCCCCTCTTGGGTCTTCACATTTTTACCAAGATCAATTCAGTGTTCCTGGTTATTTGGTCCTCACAAGCTGCTTTTTCCCAACGATTTATTTCTATTTTAGTTGTAATTCCATTTTGGTCCTGGGAGATGGTCTGTGTAGTTTCCATTCATTCCACTGCCATTTTGGAATCCTCTGAGCACGTAACTTTTATAACAATTCTACTCTTAATAATCTATCTTACTCACATGTGTGCTCAAAGATTTAGCTCCAGGAGTTCCTTGCACCTTAGTTTTTGGGGAGTAAAAAGTTGGAAACAACCCAAATAATCATAAGTAGATATAATAAATTATGATTCATTGAAGCTACAGAATATATAACCATTTAAGAGATGTAGAAACTACATATAATGATATGGAAAGATGTTCATGACTTGTTAATGAAAAAATAAGTCAATAATAAAGTATCATGTTTTTGGGGAAAAAAAATATATAGTGACCTCTTTTTCCTTAGATTGCTAAATATATATATATATTTCCAGAATATATATACAAATATCTAGAGCGAATAAAAGGTTGAACACCATACTGTGAATAAGGATTAAATGGAAAAGAGTAGGGGTTGGAAGAAACAACTTTAAAGTGTTGCTTTGACTGAACAATTGGAATTTTAAGAAGAATTTGTACTTACATATTTTGTGTAATAAACATAACTATAAAAACAAAACAATTGCTTTCATAAATTAAAATAACATTAAAATGCTTATCATGTTAAATAAAAAAGTAAACAAATGCTACAAACTATACACATAATTAATATCCTCTGTCAATCTCCCCCAAATAACTCATATGTTCATTCAGTGAATATTTTTGACCACCTACCTATGTAGCTTGCAGTCTGTTAGAAGCAAAATGCAAATATGACTAGCAAGAAAAACTTGAAGATACCAAAATGTTAATATTTTCCTTTTAGTGAAAATGCAATGTGTGAGTTTCTTTTTAAATATAATTCCCTAACTTTTCTATGAGTATTATTACTTTCATTGGGAAATTAAAAAGTTTCTTTTTTATTGTGATAAGATACATAACATAAAATTTGCCATTTTAACCATTTTTAAGTGTGTAGATTAGTGGCATTAAGTACATTCACAATGTTGTGCAACCATCACCAGTATCCATTTCTTTTTGTTTTTATCCCACACAAATTTTGTACCCATTAAACAACTCCATATTCCTTTCTCTCTGGTAACCTCTATTCTACTTTCTGTCTCCATGAATTTGCCTATTCTAGGGACCTCATAGACATATGATCACACAATATTTGTCTTTTTGTGTCTAGCATATTCACTTAGCACAGCAGTTTTCAACTGGTGTGCTGCAAGAATTTTTAAAACATGCAATACCTGATTATAGTCAGGAGCACTGACCTCTTTTCCCTTAGATTGCTAAATTAAAAAATGGCAGCAGCCAACACAACAGTAGCTGTCTGGTGTGAATGAATCATAATTATACCTATTTTTTTAATCATATCAGCAAAAATGTAATGTATTTTTTTGGCATGCCACAGAATTTTAGTAATTAGTTTATTTATGCCATGAGATGAAAAAGGTTGAAATCGCTGGTATATATGTCTGTCCTTAGGCTATACCATGGTGTTTTGATTACTGTAGTTTTGTAGTAGTTTTGAAATCAGAAAGTGTGAACCCTCCAACTTTGTCTTCTTTTTTAAGATTGTGTTGACTATTTGGGAAAAGCATTTATTCTTTTTTGGTATTCATTATTTGTAAGAGCTTTGTAAATTCTCTACCTTCTAAAAAGATTCATTCTTATAATAATTTTTTAGAATTATTTTCTGCTGTTTACTAAAGTACGCATTCTGCTTTTTATTATAGAAAGAGTATCCCAGCCAAAATGAAGTTGTGAAGAGAATGCAGTCTCTCCAAATAGATTGTGTAGCAATACCTCCAAGCAGGTCCAATTCAGGTATCTTATACTATGATCGAAAATCTGTTTATTCACTAATTTGTTTGCACATTCATGCACTCTACTCTCTAAAATAGTATTCACCACCATATGAGAAACAGAAGCTATAAAATTTAACACTGCTTTTTTTTTTTAATCTTTATTGTTGAATGCACTACAGATGTTCCTCATTTTTCCCCCATTGACCCCCTCCTCCCCACTCCCACCCCCCTCCCGCCTTTTCCCACACTGTTGTCTGTGTCCATTGGCTATGCATATAAGTTCTTTGGTTTATTTCTTCCCACCCCCCAATCCCCTTCTCTTTGAGGTTTGTCAGTCTAGGAACCAATTTGTTCTTAATCTGTTCACCTTTTTCACCCATTCCCCAACCCCCCTCCCATCTCCAACCAACAAAATGTTCTCTGTATCTATGAGAATGTTTCTGTTCTACCTGTTCATTTTGTTTGTAGATTCCATTGTCGATAGATATGTATTCATTGCCATTTTGTTTGTTCATATATTTTATCTTTTTCTTCAAAAAGACCCTTCAACATTTCATATAGTAACGGTTTGGTGGTGATGAACTCCTTTAACTTTTTCTTGCCTGGGAAACTCTTTATATAGCCATCGACTCTAAATGACAGCTTTGCAGGATAGAGTAATCTTGGTTGTAGGTTTTTGCTTTTCATCATTTTGAATATTTCTTGCCACTCCCTTCTGGCCTGCAAACTTTCTTTTGAGAAATCAGCTGACAGTCTTATGTGAACGCCCTTGTAGGTAACTAATTGCTTTTCTCTTGCTGCTTTTAAGATTCTCTCTTTGTCTTGAACCTTTTGCATTTTGATGATGATGTGTCTTGGTGTGGGCCTCTTGGGGTTCCTCTTGTTTGGGACTCTCTGTGCTTCTTGGACTTATATGTCTGTTTCCTTCACCACGTTAGGAAAGTTTTCTGCCATTATCGTTTCAAATAGGTTTCAATTACTTATTCTCTCTTTTCTCCTTCTGGCACCCCCAAGATGCAAATGTTGGCACGCTTGAAGTTGTCCCAGAGGCTCCTTGCACCATCCTCATTTTTTTGGATTCTTTTTGCTGTTCTGATTGGGTGGTTTTTGCTTCCTTGTATTCCAAATCGATGGTTTGCTTCTTGGCTTTACCTACTCTACTATTGAATCTATGTAAATTATTCTTTATTTCAGTTAGTGCCTCCTTCATTTCTGACTGTGCATCCTTCACTTATGACTGGTCCTTTTTAATGCTCTTGAGGTCTTCACTAAGGTCATTGAGCATCCTTATAAGCAGTGTTTTGAACTCAACATCTGTTAGGTTGCTTATCTCCATTTCGCTTAGTTGTTTTCCTGGAGTTTTGTTCTGTTCTTTCATTTGGGACCTGTTTCTTTGCCTCCTCATTTTGGCTGCCTCTCTGTGTTTATTTCTGTGTAGTACTTAATGAGAGGTATGAGGCTATCTGAGACCAGATGCTGCTTGTTTGAAAGAATTTAGGAAAACCTGAAGCAGGATCCAAGACAGGCCAGTCTTATGGTTAAGCAACTGGCAACAGCTTGGGTGAGCCTGAAAGTTGGGTGGGGCGGGGCCTCAGGGAATCACCAGGTTGAGGCAACCAGTGTGAGCCAGGTTGCTGGAGTCCCAGATATGGTGACTGTCCACCATCTGAGGGAAGGGCTCACCAAAGGAATAAAGGCCTCTGACAGCATGTCTGTCCTGGTAAAAGCCCCCTCTCCAGCCCTCGCTCCAGTGCCAAACAGCTCAGTTCTTCCCTGTATGTCTCTGGCTCCCCTCGAGCTGCCTCCCCTCCAAGCTTAGAGGGAGAGAGTCCGGTAAGTCCGTGCGCCGGCCCTTCAGGGAGCTGCCTGGGGCTCCAGCCGCGTCAGCTTCCCTGAGCCTCAGTTCCCGCTGGTTTTTCCAACCAGAAGTTATGGGGACTTCTCTGCCTGGCACTGGAACCCTGAGCGGGGTGTCTGGTGTGGGACGGGGACCCCTCAGTCCTCAGGGAGGACCTTCCCAGCCAAGGTGTCCTCCTGATATTTATCCGCCACACGTGGGTGTGGGACCAGGCCATCTGCCCCCACCCCTCCCACCAGTCTGGATGTGGCTGCTGCTTTAATTCCGTAGTTGTAGGACTTCCATTCAGCACGATTTCAGGTGGTTTTGAATGATGGTTGTTCTGTAGTTTAGTTGTAACTTTGATGTGGTTGTGGAGGATGCACACCCGTTTACCTACCCGCCATCTTGAACGGAAATCTCTTAACACCTGCCTTAATGGAATTTATAATATATTCGCAAGTCAAGACACATGTATTTGAAATGTTAAGTAACATTGAGTTCACCAAAATTGTAAACTGTGCTGAACAGAAGAGTCCTAAAATATCTGATAGAGAGAAGATGTTAGTTCAGGAAAAAGAAGGAGACATATGTGGGAGCCAAGTTCTTGAGAAGGTCAGAGAGGACTAGACACAGACTACAAGCAGAGAGACTGGTCTCAGATTCTAGCAGGGATACCTTTTTTCTTACAATAAATAGGAAGGCAGCTCTGGCCAGTGTGGCTTGGTAGAGCATCACCTGCCCACCAAAGAGTTTTGGGTTCGATTTCCAGTCAAGGACACTTACCTGGATTGCAGGTTTGATCCCCATCCCTGGTTAGGGCACATGCAGCCAATTTATGTGTCTCTCTCACATTGATGTTTCTCTGTCTCTCTCTCTCTTTCTCATTCTCTCTTTCTCTTCCTCACTCCTTTCCACTCTAGAAAATCAATGGAAAAAATATGCTGGGGTGAGGATTAACAAAAATAAATATAGATAGGTAGGTAGATAGATAGATAGATAGATAGATAGATAGATAGATATGGATATAGACTTTTTTGGAAGCCATTTATTAGCTATCTATTCTGGGACAAATCACTTAACTTCTTAAACCTCATCCATTAAATCATGATAATTGCTCCTACTCACAGGGCTTTTAAAGAATGAACGAATCCATGGAAAGTGATTAGCACAGAGCTGTTGCTCATATTTTCCAACCCTGCATCACACCAAGGAAACAGCCACCTCTACTGCAATAAAAGTTTCTTTCTTCCTCATCATTCCTGCACCACCCACTGCTCTGTTGCTTGATATAACTTCCCTGATGCTCTCTCACTGCCAGGCAGGGGCTCCTTCTTATTACATCTAAAAGAAGAGGGCCCTCTAGTAAATGCTTCTTACTTGTTCTCAGTGTTTTCAGTATGTTATTCTGAGGTACAGATTCTTTATGGGGTTCAGGTTTCATTTTATTGCTTAATGTTTCATGAAACTCTCTCCAATATTGATCATTTCTTCTCAGCCACAGAACAGCCCAGTTCGCTACATAGTTCACAGGGATTCAGGACGGGTCCTGTGGAGGAATCCTGGTTTGCTCCCTCCCCAGAGCACCAGCAGGAGGAGAATGGGCTCAGCCTGCAGAATAAACTCCAGGAGGAAGCCAACTACCATCTTTTTGGCAGCCGCATGGACAAACAAACAAAACAGCAACCCAGACAGAATGTGGCTTACAACAGAGAGGAGGAAAGGAGACGAAGAGTCTCCCATGACCCTTTTGCACAACCAAGACCTTATGAAACTGTTCAGAACCCAGGCCTTGCTTCTTCCGGTGCAGCCAGTCATGGTAATGCAGTACATCAACCAGTTGGACTGACCAGCGAAGCCCAAGTACCCCGCTGGAACAGTGGACCATATAGTCCACTTGGTTATAGAACAAGACCATCGGGTGTGGGAACAGGAGGTTCCCAATTTTGGTATAGGCCAAATCCAAGCCATATACCACACCTGCATAAAACTCCAGTGCCTGAGACCAACCTACTGGGAAACACGCCTACCATTCCATTCGTCTCCCTGACACCAACAGGTAAACAGGTCTTTTCAATTCAATCTTTTTTTTTTTTTTTCTGAAAATAAAACAGCTGTTAGCTCTGTTGTAGACTATAGATAACAAAGGGCAAGATGTTCAGAGTCTTCATCTGCCAGATGCAACTTGCCACCTTGGAATAGTCTCTGTCTGACCAGGTGGCCTGGAGATGTTTCAGGTTCAGTAGGACACAGTGCAGCTGCCTGCAAGTGTTGGTTTGCGGGTTTTAACAGGTAGGCATCTTCTACTCTAACCTGAGTCACAACAGTCCCATTATACCCAATCTCTTATGCAAGTGAAGGCATCTGCTTGTGTTTCACTTGCTTTTTTTCTGAAGGTAAGAGATAAGTCTTGCATATTTTTATTTCTAGTTTTATATAGGCCAAAGGCTACCATTTGTAATGAAAACCACATTGTCACCATCATCCATCTCCGGAACTCTTTTCATTTTCCCAAACTGAAACTCTGTACTCATCAGATAGCAAATCCCCTTTCTCCTTTCTGTGCCCAGTCCTGGCAACCAGCCTACTCTCTATGTCTATGATTTAATTACTGTGGGTACCTCATATAAGTGGAATCAGTCGTACAGTATTTATCCTTACTTCACTTAGCACAGTGTCCTAAAGGTTCATCCATGTTGTAGCATGTGTCAGAATTTCCTTCCTTTTTAAGGCTGAATCATATTCAGTGTATGTATATACCACATTTTGGTGTCCATTCATCTATTAATGAACACTTGAGTGGCTTCCACTTTTTGGTTTTGTAAACACTGCATGTGGGTATAAATACCTGTTTGAGATCCTGCTTTCAATTCTTTAGGGTATATATTCAGAAGTGGACTTGCTGGATCATACGGCAATTCTATTTTTAATTTTTGGAGTAACCACCATACTGTTGACCATAGTGGCTGCACCATTTTATATTCCCACCATTAGCACACAAGAGTTCCAATGTCTCCACATCCTTGGCAACACTTGTTATTTTCTGTTTTTATGATAGTAACTGGATGTGAGGTGGTTCAGCCACCTTTTAAAAAAGAAAATTTTACAGGGTGGCATAGAATAAATAATTTAACTTAAATATTTGAAGTATAGCCCTGACCCTTTATGGTGTTGTGTTTTTCATCTTTCTTTCAATTTAGATGTTCTTACCCATTTCTTCTCTCTATTCAGTTGAGGCTGGAAAGTGTTCCATTTACAACAGTGCTGGCATTCAGATTGGAGACAATAATCATATGGAGGTTGGTGGAATGAGTTTACCATTACCGGACAGCACATACATAAACTTCAAAGAGCCAGCTTCTAAGTACCAACATATCTTTGGTAAGATGCCCTTTTAGGGCCCATTGTCTGGCAACCTTGAACTTTCTTGCTTGTTGAGAGGGATGTAGTGGAATCCTAAAATTTTTCTGATTATTCTCCCTGAACGTTGTCCCATGTTTTCTCTGCAAAATATCTGTGTAATATCCATATAATTTCTTTATGTTTAATATGGGGAAAATTACAATATTTAATTCATGAACTGTTAAAATTAAATGAGTCAATATGTACAAAGAGTTTAGAACACTGCCTGGCACATAGTAAGATCTGCAAAAGTGTTAAGTTATCATAATCATCATCGTCACTAATATTACTACCCAGGACTAGGTAAGAGACCTCCTTGGGTCCTCATCAAAAGGAATTGTGTAAACTATAGGAGACTGTACCTTCAACAGCACTTCTGTAATGAAAACGATGACTTTCTCAGAGGGTTCCACTGTGCAGGCTCAGGACAGTAATCCCAAAACACAACCTGGGAAAAGCAGTCATGCGGCCAAAACAATGTGATTTAATAAGAACCCAGCTTTCTCCCTGGCCGGTTTTCTCAGTGGTTAGAGCATCAGTCTGTGGACCAGTGAGTCCCGGGTTTGGTTCCCGCTAAGGTCACGTACCTCGGTTGCATTTTGTCCCTGGCCCCGGCTGGGGTCGTGTGTATGGCAACCACTCGATGTGTCTCTTTCACATCGATGTTTTTCTCTCTCTCTTCCTCCCTCTCTCCCTCCTGCTCTATCTGAAGATAAATGCAAAAGTGTCCTCGGGTGAGGATAAAAAAAAAAGTACCCAGCTTTCTGCTTAACCCTAGGATTGGCAAATTTTTTTCTATTAAGGTTTAGATAGTAAATATTTTAGGCTTCACTGGCCTTGAGGTTTCTATTGCAACTACTCAGTTCACATTGTAGTGCAGTAGCAGCCACAGACAACATGTACATGGATGGCTGTGTTCCAGTAAAACTCTATTTACAGAAACAGGCAGCGAACCAGCTTTGGTCCATGGGCCATAGTTTGCCAATCCCTGCTCTAGCCATTTGAAGGATAGTTTTAAAAATACCTGTGCCCAGGCTGATGTGGCTTAAGGGTTAGAGCACTAGAGTGGGCACTAAAGGGTCTCAGTTTTGATTCCTGGTCAAGGGCACGTACCTGGGTGGCAGGTTTGATCCCTGGCTCTGGTGGGGGTGCATGTGGGAAGCAACCGATCCGATGTATCTCTGTCTCTGTCTCCCTCCCTTCCACTTTCTCTCTCTCTGCCTCCCTTCCTTTCACTCTCTCTACAAATCAATGGAGAAAATATCCTTGGGTGAGGATTAACAACAAAATACCTAGAGCAGAGGTTTCTAAATTTGGGGGAGACAGGGATATCTCTGAGAATCCAGTGAAACCCACAGCTCCCTCTCCCAGAGGGAATCTGTCAGGTATCTTGGGAGGTGTTTGGACTGCTGACATCCAGTGGTGATGATAAAAGCTGCATTGTGGGGAGCTGAGGAAAGAATGGGGTTAAGGTGTGAAAATGAGATGTCTTTTTCCTTATATTCAGCTTACTGAGGTAGAATGAGGATCAAGGAGCATGATTTGTTTGTGGTGGTTATTTTATCTATCCTATCTTATCCTATCTTATCTTATCTCATCGTATCTTATCTATTTTATTGGTACATGACCCTAGCAGGAACCGAACCCAGGACTCTCTGGTCCGTAAGCCGATGTTCCAGCTACTGAGCCAAACCAGCCAGGGCTGTGGTGGTTATTTTATACTTTTGTTTCCTTTTATTATTTTTGTGAAGGCCTAAGGGGAAGGAACCAGTAGAAAGAAAGAGGTTATGGCTATAGGATAAGAGAGGACAGCAGTTGGGGCAGGGGAGGGATGAATCCAGATATAGACCTTGAAGAGTATAGATGCCTCATCCCTTAAAAGACAGGGGAAGGCATTGTCATTGAATAGGTAGGTTCACACTTGATTGTCTCAGTTTTCTTGATTAAAAGGAAGGTGGACTGTTGGGTGAAGGGGATCAGTAGTCAAGTGACCTTAACTCTGGCCATATGTAAGTGAAAAATGCCCAAAAGGAAAAAAATGGTGTTTTTCTCCCTTCACATCAGGAAGGTCTAGTATAAATAGGGCCACTGGCTAAGATTGTGTAAAACAGCCTAATAGGCAGGCAAGGGTTTTAATCCCAAAGCCATCAGCTGTGGCTCAGAGATGCGTCTGTTAGGAGGAAGAGGTTCCCTCTTTTAATTCCTAAAAACTACTCCAGTGGGCTAGCAGACACGTAAAGTATCATCCTATATAATTACGAAGTTATCTTTTCCACTGTACTCCGGGTATTCTTCACTTTATACAGGTTTTTGAAGCTAGAATGTTCAAATGGGTTGCAGCTTGATGCCTCTTTTCTTTTTGGCAGATAATACCACTAGTCTGACTGATAAACACCTGGACCCAGTCAGGGACAATCTGGGAAAGACCTGGAAAAGCTGTGCCCGTAAACTGGGCTTCACTGAATCTCAGATTGATGAAATTGACCATGACTATGAGCGGGATGGATTGAAAGAGAAAGTTTACCAGATGCTCCAGAAGTGGCTGATGAAGGAAGGCAGTAAGGGGGCCACAGTGGGAAAACTGGCCCAGGCGCTCTATCTGTGTTCACGCATAGACCTCTTGAACTTTCTGGCATATATCAGCCAGAACTAACTCCAGAAGGAGCTTTGGCAGCATGAAGTAAACCCCTCACTTCGTGAGTGTTACGCTAAAAGTGTGCTGCCTCACTGATAATGGGTTCTCCGTCTCCATGAAAATTATTTCCCGAATTTCATAGCCAGACAGTGGGAAAGAAATCTACAGTAAAAAACCCGATAAACTGGAAGACCTATTAATGGCCGAGCCTGAATGAGAAAAGAAGCCAGAGTGGGCGCAGCTGCTGGGGCTAGGGGTGGTGGGAGGTGAGTGTCCACCTCATCCCCGCGGGTTCCAGCATCCCGACCCATGCTTCGCCAGGTCTCTTTGTAGAGTGACACCCTGTGGCTTCTGAGGACCTGTCGTCCAGCCTGTGCAGCGGGAAGCGGCAGTGACCTCAACGTCCTGAGAGAATCTGAAATCCATCCATCACGCATTCTTCAAAATGCAATGGAATGTACCAAGGACTATTCCAGATGCACATAGGACATACATGGAACCTTATAAAGCTGGTCTTTTTGGACACTGTCAAAATATAAAGGGACCATTACTTTTGTATATAGCTGAATCCAGAGTAGTTTTGGTATAGGGCCCTCAAAAACAATGGCTGCATTTATCTGCTGCCCAGTGCACTGCAAAGGAAAGAAAGCCATTTGATGCTCATTCACCCCAATGGGGGGTTCTTCACCATAAACAGTGGGAGCAAGATACTTTCTCTAAGAGAGCTATGTTATCCAGTGCCACATCTCCAGGAACTCCTTCAGAAAAAAAGGGAAGAACCTGATCCTTTACACGACAAATCTATTAGCCTTTATCAATGATTTAAGAAAACATTTAGACAATATGGAGAAGTTTTGATTCCAGTGCATCTAATAACTTCTGGTGTTTGGTTTGGAACATTTCATTATGCAGCCATAAAAGGAGTGATTATCGTTCCTTTTCCAGAGCTTACTGGGTTCCCTGACAGCATAGTAAACATTCTGAAAAATTCCCAGGGTGGAAATGCACTAACAGCATATGCCTTGGTTAAGATTGCAACACCTGCCCGGTATACTGTGACTTTGGGGGGAACCTTCTTCACGGTGAGTGTTTGCGTAGTCACAGCTACATGTCAACACTGCCCCCTGTTAAGGAGTATCTACAGGATAGGATGGAAGAGACAGAGGAACTTCTCACAGAGAAAATGGAAGAAACGAAGGATAGACTTACTGAAAAATTACAAGAAACCAAAGAAAAAGTTTCTTTTAAAAAAAAAAAAAGTGGAATAGGGTGCCTTATATAAGAGGTTATAAACAATTCCTGCACTTTAACCCTTTAGAGACCAAGGACAAAAATACATACTTCTGAGTATATTTTTGGTTAGTTGCCTAAATATGCCAGTTCTCTGAGGGTTAAAGAACTAAGGTAACTTTTTTAAACATTAAATGTCACTAGAAAAATGTGTGTGTTTGTTTTTTGAAAAGAATAAAATGAACCCAGTATCAGAATTTGGTATCAATAGCAGCATTAAGCAGTGGTCAGTGTCTGAGTGAGAGGTCTTTGCAGGGTCTTCAGAAGCATACTTGCTTTGTTTGCTGCAGCTATGCTTCAGGCAGGCAAGGCGATTGACTTCTTGAATAACTGATGTGGCCCTAGGCAGGAAGTTAATGCTGGGTCTTCATCTTTGTTGTTCATCGAGGTTTTAACTACAGTCCATTCTCATTCTCAATATGGAGACAAACTTTTATCATCAAATCTGCCTGTGAATGAGAGGATATTTCTGTAATTGTATAACAATTAACATACCAGTTAAAATAACAGACTTTATATGAAGAAAGTTGAATAAAAATTAAGTCATACATATAAATAAGATGTATTGGTTATATATATAAATGAAAAATTGACCATTCAAAAATGACTTTTACCCGAAGCTTGTCATAATCAAAATTTTAAAGCGAATATATAGGACCATAGTACCTTTCTCCTAGAAAACTACTGTGAATTGTTTTGTGTCCTTTTCAACTAATTTTTCAGAGAACACGTTAAAATAATTATACCTTAAGTTTATTGTTGAAATCAGATTATCTTAAGCAGTAACTCAAGGTTGTGGTTCTCAAGAAAATACAGGTTTGGAAGGATGGAAAACGGCACTGGGTTGGCACGGAGCTCTCTTCCTGCTGCATGGCAGGTCTCGTCTCCGCCAGCCAGCGCTCTTCCCCAGTGTCTTCTCTCAGAGTTAATGTTTATCTTGTTATGGAATAAATTTTGAAATTGTAAAAAAAAAAAAAAAAAAAGAAAGTAAAAGGAAATAGAAGCCTAACTGGGTTTTGAAAGGGAAAGAAGAGATATTTGAGATCATTTTCTTTTAAAATTTATCTTTATTGTTGAATGTATTACAGATGTCCCCCTTTTTTGACCCCCTCCTCCCCACTTCTGTCCCCCTCCTGCCTTCCCCACATTATTGTCTGTGCCCATTGATTATGCATATATGCATATAAGTTCTTTGGTTTATCTCTTCACGCCCCAACTGCCCCCTTCCCTTTGAGGTTCCTCAGTCTAACAACCAATTTGTACTTCTTAATCCAATCTCCCAACTCCCCTCCCATCCAACAACCATCAAAAAGTTCTCTGTATATGGCCCTGGCTGTTTTGGCTCAGTGGTAGAGCATTTGCCCTCGGACCAATGAGTTGCGGGTTTGATTCTGGTCAAGGGCATATACTTCAGTTGTGGTTTGTCCCCAGCACTGGTCAGGGTCCTGTGGGAGGCAACCAATCAGTGTGTCCCTCTCATGTCGATGTTTCTCTCTTTCTCTCCCTCCCACTCTATCTTAAGATAAATAGAAACATATCTTTGGGTGAGGATTAAAAAAATAAATATAAAGCTCTCTGTATCTATGAGTCTGTTTCTGTTCGGCTTTTTCATTTTGTTTGTAGATTCCATTTTTGATAGATATGTATTTACTGCCATTTTATTATTCATATTTTTGTTGTTCTTCTTCAAGAAGACCCTTCAACATTTCATATAATGCTGGTTTGGTGGTGATGAACTCCTTTAGCTTTTTCTTGTCTGGGAAGCTCTTTATCTGGTCATCGATTCTAAATGATAACTTTGCAGGATAGAGTAATCTTAATTGTAGGTCCTTGTTTTTCATCACTTTAAATACTTCTGGCCTGTAAAGTTTCTTTTGAGAAATCATCTGACAGTCTTATGGGAGCTCCTTTGTAGGTAACTAACTGCTTTTCTCTTGCTGCTTTTAAGATTCTCTGTCTTTAACCTTTGGCATTTTGATGATAATGTGTCTTGGTGTGAGCCTTTTTGGGTTCATCTTGTTTGGGACTCTGTGCTTTCTGGACATGTATGTCTGTTTCCTTCACCAAATTAGGGAAGTTTTCTGTCATTATTTATTCAAATAGGTTTTCAGTTTCTTGCCATTTATTAAAGAGAGGCTGTCTTTACTCCATTGTATGCCCTTGCCACCTTTGTCAAATATTAATTGAGCATAATGTCTTGGGTTAATTGCCAGGTTCTCTGTTCTGTTCCATTGATCTATAGGCCTGTTCTTGTACCAGTACGAGGAGTTTTTTTATTACAATGGCTTTGTAGCCATGGCCAGTTTGGCCCAGTGGTTAGAGGATCAGCCAGAGGGCCAGAGAGTCCCAAGTTCGGTTCTCGCTAAGGGCACGTACCTCGGTTTGTCCCCGGCCCTGGTTGGGGTTGTGTGGGTGGCAACCAATCGATATGTCTCTTTCACATTGATGTTTCTCACTCCCCCGCCCCCCCACCCCACTCTGTCTGACAAGAAATGCAAAAATGTCCTCGGTTGAGGATAAAGAAAACAATGGCTTTGTAGTATAACCTGATATCCAGTATTGTAATCCCTCCCACTTTGTTCTTCTTTTTCAAGATTGCCGTGCCTATTATTTGGAGTATTTGTTCTAGTTCTGTGAAATAATGTCGTTGGTGTTTTAATGGGGATTGCATTGAATCTATAGATTGCTTTGTGTAGTATGGACATTTTAATGATGTTAATTCTTCCAATCCATGAACAAGGTATATGCTTCCACTTTTTTATATCTTCCTTTATTTTTATTTTTTTTCAATCTCCTCTAGTTTTCTATGAACAGGTCCTTTACTTCTTTGGTTAAGTTTATTCCTAGGTATCTTAATTTTTTTGTTGCAGTGGTTAATGGGATTATGTTAAGTTTCTCTCTGTGTGTTCATTATTGGTGTATAAAAATTCCAGTAATTTCTGGATGTTTATTTTGTATCCTGCTACTTTAGCAAATTCATTTATTAAGTCTAGTAGATTTTTGATGGAATCTTTAGGGTTTTCTATATATAATATGTTACCTGCGAATAATGACGGTTTCATTTTTTCTTTCCAATTTGCATCCCTTTTATTTTTTCTTCATGTCTGATTGCTATGACTAAGACTTCCAGTACTATGTTAAATAAGAGTGGTGGAAGTGGATATCCCTGTCTGGTTTCTGTTCTTAAGGTAAATGCTTCTAGTTTTTGCCCATTGAGTAAGATGTTGGCTGTAGGTTTGTCATAAATGGCCTTTATTATGCTGAGATATCATCCTTCTATTTCTACTTTGCTGAGAGTTTTTATCAAAAATAGATGCTGGATTTTGTCAAATGCTTTTTCACTGTCTATTGATATGCTAAAATGGTTTTTATCTTTCATTTTGTTTATGTGATGTGTCACATTTATTGATTTATGAATATTGTACCAGCCCTGCATCCCCAGGATAAATCCTATTTGGTCATGGTGTATAATTTTAAAAATATATTTCTGGATTCAATTTGCTAAGATTTTTTTTTTTATTTCTCACCCGAGGACATTTTTCTATTTATCATTAGATAGAGTGGGAGGGAGGAAGAGAGAGAGAGGGACAGACAGAGAGAAACATCAGTGTGATAGAGCCACATTGACTGGTTGCCTCCTGCATGACCTGACCTGGGCCAGGGATGAACCGAGGTATGTGCCCTTGACTAGAATCGAACCCACAACTCATTGGTCCACCAGCCGATGTTCTAACCATTGAGCAAAACTGACTATGGTTTGATTTGCTAAGATTTTGTTGAGGATTTTGGCATCTATGTTTTATCAGGGATATTAGCCTGTAATTATTTTCTGAAACTAAGAATCAGGTCTTAGTTTCATTGATCTCTTATATATATATTTTTTAGTCTCTATGTCCTTTATTTCTGCTCTGATCTTTATTATTTTCTTCTTTCTACTAACTCTGGGTTTTTCTTTTTCTCTTTCTAAATCTTTAAATTGTTAAGTTAGTTTATTAGAAATTTTTATTTTTTTTAGAAATTTTTCTTCTTTCTTGGGGTAGGCCTGCATTGCTATGGACTTCCCTCTCAGGACTGCTTTTGCTGTGTCCCACAGATTTTGTATTATTGTGTGTTCATTTTCATTAGTTTCCATGAAGTTTTTGATTTCTTTCTTGATCTCATTGGTAACTCATTCGTTGTTTAATAACATGCTATTAGCTTCCGTGTGTTTGAATGTTTTTGAGTGTTTTTATTGTAATTGACTTCTAGTTTTATGCCATTTTTATCTGAGAAGATGCTTGATAGGATTTCAGTATTCTTAAATTTGTAGAGACTTACTTTGTGTTCTAACATGTGGTCTATCTTTGAGAATGTCCCGTGTGCACTTGAGAAAAATGTATATTCTGCAACTTTGGGGTGAAATGTTCTGTAAATATCAATTAAGTCCAAATGATCTAGTTTGTCATTTAAGGACTCTGTGTCTTTGTTAATTTTTTGTCTAGAAGATCTATCCAGTGTTGTCAGTGGGGTGTTAAAGTCACCCACTATGATTATATTGTTATTAATCTCTCCCTTGAAGTCCTCCAAAAGTTTTGTAATCTATTTTGGTGCTACCATATTTGGTGCGTATATGTTTCCCAGCGTTATATCCTCTTATTGGATTGGTCCTTTTGATATTATGTAGTGACTTTCTTTGTCTCTTATTATGGCCCTTGTTTTGAAGTCTATCTTACCAGATATGAGTACGGCTACACCAGCTTTTTTTTTTTTCATTTCCATTTGCCATTCACTTTCATCCTGTGTGAGTCTTGTTGTGAGGTGGGTCTCTTGTAGACAGCATATATATAGGTCATGTTTTCTTATCCAGTCAGCTACCCTATGTCTTTTGATTGGAGCATTGAAGCCATTTACATTTACAGTTATTATCGATATATACTTATTAGTTGC